TAAAATCAATTAATTAGTTAAACATGACAAACAGTAATAAATAACCAGTTCTGCCTCCATCAGTAACCTGTAATTAATTATGGATATTTTCTAATTTGTACAAAAAACTACATTATTTATAATTAAACTTCAATTCCATAACAAGGAATTGGAAAAGGCCTCATCATAGGTGATTTTTGCTTTTTTCTGCGGCACTGCTGCCGGATTTTACCCGCGATTTCTGGCTCATCTGCCAATATTTTTGCTCCAATTTAGCTATGGGGGTGTTCAAAATTTAATTTCGAGCGAATTGAAATTTTTTTACCTTTTTTGGCGGCCGGAAGTGGCTCCGGCACGGCAGCAAGCAGCGGTCGACTCTCTTCCCGGCGACTAACTCTTCTTCTTCGGCGGGGGGGTCTGGCAGCTAGGGTTAGGATTTGGTGTGAAGAAGGGTATTTATATCCTGCTTCTTTTAATCTAGGTTGTCCATCACATTTGATCTGTACTGTTCGATCGCATTTAAATAGGAAGTGAATCTAGACTGTTCATTACAATTTGATCTGTATCGTCTGATCATGTTTAAATAGGAAGTGGATCTGAACCGTTCATCGCGATTTGATCTGGGTTGTCCGATCGCATTTAAAGGAAAAACGAATCTGAATCGTCCGTGTGTGCAGGAACAAATCCGGACCATCTGATATCGAGCACGCGGATCGCCAACATGGCCTCTCGCGTGGCACCGCGTCAACGTGCCTTGTCACACGGTGCGCTCTAGTTCGTTGGGGCTGCTAATTGGGCGTCCTACGTGGTACAATTTTCTTAAATTATATTTTGACTCCTAATTTTTTATTTTTTAAAAAAAAAATATCCCCAAAATCCAAAATTTCACTCATTTTTTTCAAAATTATTTTCAATTTCATCCTCCACCTAATTTTCTTCATTTTAACATTAAATAAAAATTCAAAATTTAAAAATTATATTTATACATTAATTTTAAATATATTAAAATTAATTAAGGGTATTACAACTTTCCCCCCCTTAAAAGAAATTTGGTTCCTCAAATTTGTCTCCCTTCCATTCAATCAAACAGTTGGAGATATTGAGTTCTGAAGTCTGCTTCTAGCTCCTATGTGGTCTCTCCCTGTGTGTGATTCTGCCATAGGACCTTAACGAAGGAAATTTTCCACTTGCGGAGTACTTTGCTCTTTTGGTCCATAATACCCATCGGTATCTACTCGTAGGACAAATCCTCCTGAAGTAAAAGGAACTCGTGGGCCAAGACGTGAGAGGGTCTGATTTGTACTTGCATAGCATGGATACATGGAACATATTATGGATCCTGAATAGTTCTGAAGGCAGTGCCAGTCTGTAGGTGGCGGTGCCAATTATGTCTAAGATTTCAAATGGCCCAATAAACCGGGGGTTTAGTTTCCCGCTCTTGCTAAACCTACTGATTCCTTTGAAAGGAATGACCTTAAGGAACACCTGATCACCTTTCTCAAATTCTAAATCCCCCCTCTAAGTATCCGCATAACTCTAATGCCTGCTCTGAGCCATCTGAATACTATTCCTGATCTTAACTATTTTAGTTGTAGTCTCATATACAAGATCTTAGCCGAACAATTTTCTGTCACCATTTTCTTCCCAACAGATCGGCAATCTACATGGACGGCCATACAACACCTCATACGTAGCCATGCTAATACTTGTTTGGTAGCTGTTATCGTAGGTAAACTCTATTAGGGGTAAATGATCATCTTAATGGCCCCCGAAGTCAAGAACATAAGCTCGGAGTATATCCTGCTGTGTACGGATCGTCCTTTCTGATTGTCCATCGGTCTAAGAGTGGAATAAAGTACTAAGGGATAATTTCGTTCTCATGGCTTGTTGAAAACTAGACCAGAACCGAAAAGTAAACTTGGGGTCCCTATCGGACACTACTGTCACTAGCACTCCATGTAACATGACTATCTCCTAGATATACATTCTTACTAGTTTGTCCAAGGGGTCGGTCATCCTGATACCTAAGAAGGAGAAAGACTTGGTGAGCCGGTCAACAATTACCTAAATGATATCATGTCCCGAGCGTGCCCTAGGCAATCCTGTAACGAAATCCATTGTGATATGTTTCCACTTTCACTCTGGAATTGGTAATGGCTGAAGTAGCCCGTCTGGGCGTTGATGCTCTGCCTTGACTTGCTGACATACCAAACACTTAGAAATAAAGTCGGCAACATCTCTTTTAATCTCGTTCTACCAAAATTTGGATCGCATACTTTGATACATCTTAGTGCTTCCAAGATGCATGATAAATTTTGAGTTATGGGCTCTGTCATGATGTCCTTTTTCAATTCATTGTTACCTGGAACACATATCTTATCCTGAAATCTAACCAATCCATCGACAGAGACTCGAAATTCTAAATTAACTCCCTATTCTGCATCTTTTTTTAGGGCTACTAGGGTAGAATCGGCGGACTGAGCTTCCTTTATTCTCTGGATCAACTCAGGTTGAACAGTCAGGTGGGCCAAACATGTGACTCTCTTCAGGTCCTGAAGTCGGACCTGTTGTGCGGCCTTTATTGCCTTACATTCTGAAACCATCAAGTGAGCTAATCTACCTGCACTTTTTCTGCTGAGTGCATCGACTACCATATTGCCCTTACCCGGGTGTTATAAGATATTGCAATCATAGTCCTTGAGGAGTTTTATCCATCTCCTCTAATGCATGTTGAGATCCTTTTGAGTGAATATGTGTTTCAAGTTCTTATGGTTGCTATAGATATGAAAGGTCTCCTCATACAAGTAATGACGCAAAGTCTTCAAGTCGTGGATAATTACGGTAAGTTCTAAATCATGGATAGAGTAATTTTTCTCATGACTCTTCAACTGCTTAGATCCATAGGCTATGACATTCTCATACTACATCAGAACACAACTCAACCCCAAGTATGAGGCATCATTATAAACTGTATATGCACCCGACCCGCTCGGTAAGGCCAACACAGGTGCAGTAGTCAACCGTTTCTTTAGTTCTGAAAAACTTCTTTCACAGTCTTTGTTCCACTCAAACTTGACGTTCTTCTTTGTGAGCCGAGTCAGAGGAGCAACTAGGCTAGAAAATCATTTCACAGACCTGCTGTAATAACCTGTCATTCCCAAAAAAGTTACGAATCTCCTTGATCGAGGTTAATTTTTCCTCACCGAGCACTGGCTCAACTTTTTTTAGGATTCACTAATACTCCATCATTTGATATGATGTACCATAGAAATGTAGTCTACTCGAGTCAGAACCCACACTTACTCAACTTTGCATACAACTTCTTTTCTTTGAGAACCTACAAAACCTGAGTCAGATGATGAGCGTGTTCCTCTCTATTTTTTGAATAGATCAGGATATCATCGATGAATACATGACAAACTGACGCGATTCCACACCTCCGGTTCGTCGGACTGGGCGTCCTACGTGGCACAATTTCTAAATTGCATTTTGATCCAGTTTCGATTTTCTTTAAAATACTCTAAGAACCCAAAATTCACTATTTTCCAAATAATTTCATTTCATCATACACCTATTTTTCTCATTTT